CAAAATGAACCCCACAGCTGCCTGAGATCCTGAGTCAGAATGAACTTGATGGTGGTGGTTTGGGTTTGGAGCAGACACTACTTGGAAGTTGCAGGTTCCTCTATCACCACCAGATGGAGAGAAAGAGCCATATCTGAGTTAAACTTCTGATCAGTTTCCCAGCTCCCATATAGCAGCTTCTCCGCTCTCTACCCACTAGCTGCTACCAGCAATTCCTGTAATTAATGACATCTGCAGACCTTGTCAAATGTCTCTGGGACATTTGAGTCACCCCTGGTCCAGAACCACTACGTAATAAGGCCCTGAAGGTTTTAAATAGAAAAAGCAAAGCATATTTCGACGGAATTTTATAAGAGGGTTTTTGTTTGTTCTCTTATAAAAGTAACATTTAGCCAGTGAAAAAAATCAAAATTATAGAAAAGCATTAAGGAAATTTAAAAGACAACAAATCCCAACACCAAGATTAGCTCCTATAAACAACTTAACGACTATCCTTCCAGTTACACATGTCAACATCCTATCATCTGTTTCCATTAAAAAAAAAATCTACCATGGACATCTTTTTAAGTGGAAATGTGAGTAAAATGATGAAAAATCAAAAAGACTGTAAGAGATTGGGGGCCAGGGTAAGTGTTGTAGTCTTAAGCCTAAAAAGAATAAGGGTAAATGTTTGCTTGGCTCTTTTTTCTACAACTATGATACTTACAGAGGTCCCTGGTTGATACAAAGATTTCAGCTCAGCTACTAACCTAAAGATTGGTGGGTCAAAGCTTCCGAGCAGCACCGTGGAAGAAAGATCTCATCTTTTCCATAGATTGCAACCAAGAAACCCTGTGGAGAAGTTCTACTCGGTAACAAGTGATGTCACCATTTGTCATAATCCACTCAATGGAACAAGTTTGGTTAGGGAGTTTGTACTACTGGAATAACCATTTATTTAAATGCCTGTTTCCCCACAACTGCCCACTGCGTGCCAAACCAAACTCACTGGTTGTCGCTAGGACTCATAGATCCCTATAGGACTCTGATCCTATTGGACAGAGTAGAACCCTTTGGGCTCTGGGGCTGCACATTTTTATGAAAGCAAAAAGCCTCACTTTTCTCTCCAGAAGCTGATGGATTTCAACGTCTCCCTTTTGTTTTGTTTTTTAATCATTTTATTCGGGCTCATACAACTCTTTTTTTTTTTCCCATACAACTCTTATCACAATCCACACATACATCAATTGTGTGAAGCACACTTATACATTTGTTGCCCTCATCATTCTCAAAACTCTCTTTCTGCTCGGGCTCCTGGAATCATGAGGAGCTGATTTCAAGTCTCTTATTGTGGTTAGTATGCAGCTCATAACCACTGTACCACCGGGGCTCCTCCCACTACATTGTGCAGGCCTCTGCATTTACAACATGACCTCACACTTGCTGAATTCTCTTGCAAGTTTGCTGAACCACCAACAGCTCTGCAGGAGAAAGACTGGGCTTTCTACTCCCATAAACAGTTACAGGCTTGGAAACCCACAGGGGGTCACTGTGAGTCAGCATTGGCCTTATGGCAGTGGGTTTGGTTTTAGTTCCCTCTGGGAGAAACATTTTCCTAAACAGGAAGAAGTGAAGATTATACAGGTCATAGACATAAACTCCAATTCCCTCCCAACTTCCAAAGCCAAAGACAGACCAGAAAATAGGGATAGGAAGCAGAGGCGAGAGAAAGGTTGAGATGTACTTCTCTGATTCTCTTCTCTCTTCTGAAGAAATCTGAGTGATCTTGGAGAAGAGCCATTTGGAAAGTGTCCTAAGGCTGTACTACAATTCAAATGATATATGAGACATTTTACTCTTTGTTTTAGTCTATAATCTAGTTTTGCTCTCAAACTCCATCCACTGGTTAGCAGGAGGGAAAAAAATAAACTAAAAGTTCAAGTTAGTTCAAGTTCAGTCCAATATGACAAGTTAAATCCACTTTCTAGAAGTATTCAGCCTCTGTTAGAGGAAATAATGTTTGTTTGTTAGAGAATCTCTCCTTGCCCTACTTCTCTTCTCAATAGATAGTGGTGCAGTGTGGATCAGGTGAACTTCAACCATAGGTTAATGTCATGTTAGCTTCTATTGCAGTGGGCTGGCATCTGCTGGTCTCTGGAGCACTGTCTTTAGTGCACCCAATTGTCAAACATTCTGCAGAACACCATCGCTATAACCCTTTGCCAGTCAACGTGGCCTCTGCATTTTGGGGAAGGAAAATTCTCCTGGGTTGCTGACTTTCTATCCCAAGGAGTCGCTGGCTGCACATTCCTGGCAAAATCATCAAGAACCACAGATCTTAAAACCAATTAATATATATTTATATCCTGTAATGAGAGACTTCTGAACAGAAGAAGCACAACCCCAGCTTGATGAGACAGAAAAGAGGAGGAGCATTGCAAGAGTCAGAGTCCCTCCCTGACCTTGCAGGACCTTATAATCTCAGCAGCAGGCAGTCCAGGTCACTAATAATACAAGGAAATGACACAGGGAAGGGAAATAATAGTACATGAAGAAAGTCAGCCAAATGCAAACAGCTAGCCACCATTTCCAGAATAAAATATTAGACTCGCAGGTGATAAAGATTTCTATCCCAAACTCCATGCCACTTTACAGGCCTGGACCAACTGAAGCTCAGCTATATAGAGATCAGAAACTGACTTCCCTAAATTCAGTGCTGCTCACAGAGTTTTTCATTTCCATGTGGAGATGTGTTTTGATTTGTTGATAGTATCCATATCCTAATGACATTAACTGGGGGCGGGGAGATGCCTTGAGCATTCAAAAAAAAAATCCATCTCTTAGTAGCCCTTGCTTTGATTGTGAATTTTCTGCAGGATCATACAGATAAATCCATGTTTCATCTCCTGTTGCAGTTCTTCTAAGAAATGCTTCAGGACCTTGACCTCACTTCTTTAAAATTCACTGAAATGCTCTGCTCTTGTCTGCAGCTGATCTGGCTGCAACCATTTTGGGACCCATCTGGCAGAAAGTTTGCTCAGGTTTAACTTTTCAGTCAGATTTGTGTACACTGAACCAACTGAGATGTCTATGGTGTTGAATAATATTTCTACTATTAATCTGGGGCCTCCTAAGCTAGACTGTTTCTTTGCAAAATGATGGGGGGTCTGCCACTGCTTGGGGATGGGGAGCTTAATCTTCAACATCATCTCTTCCCTTAAAAAATGAGATGTTTGCTAATGCACAAATGTGGAGGCACAAGCATTTACTTCTAGTTGGTTCTTAATGATAACACATCCTTGGTTTTCACCTGATAACATATGCTTGCTGTTTACCTCTGACATGTTCCACTGTCTTTAGCTGCCCTCAGCCACTATCTGTCTGTCTCACCCTGCCAAACTGACGATAGTTAGAACCCATGCTTTCTCAGGGGCTCGAACTAGTCCTCAGCAGCTCATCCCAGGACAGGTTCAGGCAGGAATACTCAGATCCATTCTGAAAACTCTTCCTGAACACTCTGCAGGGCACTCAGAACCAGCTGGCAAGTGATGGGGACAAGAGTAGGGATCCACACATTAAAGGCTATAAATATAAGGTGCTCATTGCCTGTAAAGATCTTAAAAACAGCCATAAAGCTCACTAACATATTTTGTTAGTCAATGTTCTAAACAATTGTTATGGTTACTGTTGAATTATAATAATAAATACATATATTTCAAATGATCACTTTACTTACCCACTTGAATCTATATAGTTTAACTGAGAAAACCACCCCTTACACAGTTGAAGTCAACTACACCTTTCTTTAAAATAACAAATTCTTAAGTTTGTAATCTTTCATGCTCACTGTGTGTCAGGGGTGCATTTTGTGGCTTCATCTTCCATGGAGCACACACGCCCACTTTCAAAAGAGTAAGCTTAAATACTCTTAGCTGTCTGAGATTCTTCTTTTGAGTTACCTTTTCTTTAACAGAAGTTCTGGTGAGGTAAATCAGACACACACAAAAATACCTGCAAAAACCAGATCAACTTTTAACATAGCAAAACACCACGGCTTCAAATGGTTCCTGGAACCTTAGAGTTCAAAAAGAAGTGAGCTGGAAAAATCTTTTTTGGTATAAGAGACCAAGTCTTTTATACACCATCTGTTATAAAACAGAGAAAGGAATGCACTCTGCAGATATAATTAGTAAGATATTTGGTGTATGAATATCAGCTAATAAGTAATGAGCTTTACGTGGAAAAAAAAACTTTTCTAATTTAAAATTTACAAGAAGTGTTCTTTGGCTACCTGTGCGTGAAAAGTGACAATTCTAACTAAAGTACATGAAGACTGTCTCTGAACGTCATCCACAAATTTGCAGGCCACGGTAGCCTGATCCTTTGAAGACAATACTTCCATTTGCTTATTCTGGATACATCATCAGGAAACACCAATTTACTACCAAAGAGCTGCTTCGTGGGAAAACGGAATACGAACTTTTTGAAGCTCCCTCGAATGTGTTTAGTTCACAAAATTCTCCCGATGTTTGTCTTTATTCTGGGCACCATTATTATTCGTTTCTGCGAATGGTCTAAAGACTGAGATGCTCGGGGTGTTAGACGCCGCAGCGCACCACTGCTCTGGCCCTGGCAGCGCGTCCTCTCACCGGGCCGGGAGGCCTTCCGGGTACCTTTCCTCCGGCGCCAAGACACTCACTTTCCCAGCAGGCTCCGCGCCCAAGCTTCAAGATCGCGAGACGGCGGAGACCGCACGAGAAACCCGAAGGCCAGTATCGCACACTAGGGGGCGCCTTGTTCCTCCGGCCCAGCACTAAGCGCTCGCGGTCCCGGAAGCCAGTCCAGCTCGCCTCCTCTGGAAAAGGTCAACACCCCTTCTCCGCCCTCCCTCAGGTTGCCAACGAGGCAGGCTCTGATGCTCATGCGCAGACACGTCCACCACGCACCGGGCAACAGCGCTTGCGTCGTCTGAAATTCGCGTCTCCGCCCCCTCTGCCCTGAGCGTTTCCAGTTCCGGCCTAAAGGGGCGGGGGAGGAAGCTCCGAAAATGCGGTTGACGGTCGCTGCTGCCATCTCGCACGGCCGCGTGTTCCGCCGCCTGGGCCTTGGTCCCGAGTCCCGCATTCACCTGTTGCGGAACTTGCTGACGGGGCTGGTGCGATACGAGCGCATCGAGGCAACATGGGCGCGCGTGGACGAAGTGAGAGGCTACGCCGAGAAGGTGAGGGGCGGGGCCCCGCCGGGGGCGGGCCACCGGGTCTGGTCCACCGCGCGAGTCTGACCTTAGGGGCTGGGTCAAGCGGGACTTCAGGAGAGAGTGGGGTCGCATGTAAGGTCTTCCGGAAACCAGAATCCTCAGGACCCCGAGCTGAGCCCACTTTTCCTGGCTCCTCAAGATTGACTAGACTGCAAAGTTAAGAGTGGGCTAAATTAGATGCTTTGCTACTGGAATGAATGGGTTGGGGCCGGCCATTAGGACAATATTCAGTTGGCGTCCCATTTCTTGCTTGAATTGGATCGTAATCTTATGTCCTCACAGCTTATCGACTATGGGAAGCTAGGAGACACCAACGAACGAGCCATGCGCATGGCTGACTTTTGGCTCACGGTGAGTTTTTTATCTGCCTCCCAAATTGCACTGTTTGCTTCCTGGTTTGGGGGTATGGGTCAGTCAGATAGGTCAAGGGAGGGGGAAATGAAGCAGCATTCAGCCAGGGCACTTACTGCAAGATTGGCATCGTGAACTAAATTAGCCATGTTAAGTTAGATAAATTCGAATGTGACTCTGACTCTCCACTATTACTTGTAACTGATCCCTCTGTAACTTTAACGATCAGATTGGTTGGTTTAGGGGCAGATCTGTGTATCTGTGTTTGGACCATCAGTGGTGCTTGACTTCTTTCTAATTAATGACGTCCCTTTTCTAGGAGAAGGACTTGATCCCAAAGCTGTTTAAAGTGCTGGCCCCTCGATACCAAGGTCAGAATGGAGGCTACACAAGAATGGTGCAGATCCCAAATCGAAGTGAGCAGGATCGAGCCAAAATGGCCGTCATCGAGTACAAAGGGAACTGTCTTCCCCCGCTGCCCCTACCTCGCAGAGACAGCAACCGGACACTCCTAAACCAGCTGCTGCTGGGGCTGCGGAGAGACCTCAGCCAGACGGAGAAAGCCAGCATCCACAACTCCCACACAACCCAAACTCCAGGAATTTAATACCAGAACTGCTGTGTCCTTCATCAGGGCCCATGGTCACAGTGTTTGGAGGTCTCTTCTGCTCTAGGAAGAACTGAAGCTGTAGTTGTAAACTAGACAGTGTTACTGGGACCCAGAACCCTCTGGGAAGCTAGATGGCTCTGCTTTTGCCCAACAGATCAAATGGTTCATATGATTGTGTAAATTTATTTTTTTTTTTTTTCCCCTCGAAGTTTCTGGTGAAATGAAGCCTATGCAGATGTTCAGTCTGTCTGGAATAGAAAATTCATAGCTCGCTTTTGGTTCCTGGGTCTAAGTTGTGTTTGATTCTGTTTCATTTTTCTTAGTGGCTGGTGAATGAATATCCTTTAGCTTCAAACTGGCCCCCAAGGTTATTGAATTTGGGCATCTAGCAGAGAGATAGTCTCTGGGACTTCTTAGACAAAGATAACCTCTTAACGGGTGGGGGAGTGAATGTCTAAAAGTAAATTTCTAACAATCTGGTTCTCTGGAAACCTGGGGAGACTCTACAACTATTTCTCAGTTTCTAAGCAGGATCACCCATTACCTTCTTGTCCTCCCCTCAAACATTTAGAGTTTTGGAGCAGGAGGTCCGGAGAACACAGTTGTCTCACCAACCCATCCCCACTGAAGTGGTGCGGGCCATGTTGGATTCCAGAGGGGAGGAGGGGATTGAAATGGGAAGATTAGGAAATTAGCTTGCTGGGAATTTCCTGGAAGTTTTTAATTGTTAAATCTAGGCCTGACTGGGAACACAGAAAAGGGAAATCCGGCTTCAGAATGGCCAGGACATGTGACCAAGCTACACACCCCTAAGGCTTACAAGCTTAACTTGGTTAGTAGTTACCTGAAGAGGAGTTAACAACTTGCAGGTCTGGACAGTTGCTATAGTCAATGTATCAGGTAAAGAGATTATTCTAGGCTGGGCCTTCAGAGCCTATTTTTTCTGCCTGCTGAACCCGTCCATTATCTGAGGTAATACATAAGGATGGGTTGGGGGGTGAGGGAATCACAGTTCATAAAGGTGCACATGAGCTTCACTGATGGCATTGTTCTATACCATTCACTGACGGTCAGCAGCTTCAAAAAGGACTCTTTATCCTTAACACTATTGCCAGAAACCTCTTCTGGACATTACATTTTACTACTATTTTTTTGTTAAAAGATCATTTTATTGGGGGCTCTTAACAGCTCAGAACAATCCATACATCAGTTGTATCAGGCATATTTGTACGTATGCTGCCATCATTTTCTAGACATTTACTTTGCTATTGAGCCCTAGGTATCAGCTCCTCTTTTTTCCCTTCTTCCCTCCCAAACCCCTACGTTTTAGATGACACAGGAGAAAATCAAGACTTTTACTGAATAAAGCTACAATTCTTTGCATCAGAAATTAATCTGGACTCTAAATCACAAAATTTTACCCCAGCTGTTGGTGTGTGCCCTTGGATCCATTTAGGCGCCTCTTTCTTGAATTCCAAACCCTAGAGGCACCCAATAGAGTAGAATTCCCTTTTAACCTCTTTTCAAAGCTTCGATCAAAGGTTCCAGTTCAAAATTCCAGCAAAATTGACAAAGTAATGCTCATCCTCTTAAAAGATAAACTTTAGCTTCAACAGCTCATAACGTCAGCATCAGCCCAATTATGCACAGCAGCCATAATTAGAAAAATTAGACTCCTTACACTTAGGAACAGTAGCTGAACTGCTAAGTTGACTTGCCTTTATTTCTGTAATATTTTTTTCAAATCTGCAGTTACCCTCTCTATTAGTGTAACAGCTTCCTACCTTGCCTTGCTCCACACAGTATAGTTCTAGTAACAATTTTTTTTCTAGTAACAATTTTATTATCTCAGCTCCCTACTTGAAGATCTCCAGTGGTTCCATATTCCCTAAAGGGCAGAACTATCTTCTTTGCCATGACCTCTGTCTTTTGACCAGGCATCTGTCCACTATTTCCCTTGCATCAGTGTTCTAGAAGCATAGATGTCTGCTCTGGCCACTTCATGTGTAAGGAGAGCAGAGCTCCCCTTACCACCTTTTGTTATTTGCAGTCCAAACCACCTGGAACCTTTTCCTTTTTAGCTACCCAGCTGGCATTTCCTGACCATCCCCACACCTAAATTCATTGCTGTGTCACCTGTAATGTGTCCTTCCTTTGCCCAAATTAGCCACATTGCATTCCAGTTCTCTACATGTTCTCTATATGTTCCCAAACATACCACAGATGAGTCTCAAGCATTGTCTTAGGCTGAGAAAACCAGTGAAGCATACATACGCATGTACACACAGAAGTTTATGGCTTAGACAAGCATAGAAGCTGACAGGATCCAAATACATGAGTCAGATGTTAGCCTAGAGGTTTCTGACCTAGCTGCAGGGACTGAGGGCAGGCTTCTGACTGCAGAGCGAGTGAGATGGCAGTCTACTGATGACACCCAGGATGGGTGGGCAATAGGAATATTGCAAGAGAACTGGGCCTAAAAATGAGACAGATGGAGGAGCCAAACCCAGAAAACAAGTTTTTCTACAGCATCCACATATATGGGAAGCAGGTCAGACCCTCCAGGGAAGTTCCAGATATCATTGCTTTAAGTGCCAAACCACAAGAAATCCTGGCCCAGCCAAGCTGACCAAACCTCCATCACAAGCAGTCATGGTGTTTAAACCCCCTTGCTGCTCTCAGTTTCAAGGGTAGACAGATTTGGACCAGTTAATCCAGGGTATATATTCTAAGAGTACTCAGTGCTTCTGGGGAACTGGCTTGGTTAAAGCTGACACAGAATAGCAAATCAGAACTGTTGAGATCATTTATTTTTAGTAATTACTCCCATTTGAGTGTGGGTTTTCTGTTGATTGCCAGCCAAAATCTGATCCATTAGTTTATTTAGATACCTCTGAACCTTTAGCTTCTCCCAAAATTTCTTATAATCCACAGATCAGAAAGCATTTTGCACCAGAGCAATATCCACACGTGAAACAAAAACAACAAAATGCTGCTTTCACAAAGCGAAGCTACACTTTTTTTTTTTTTGGCAAGTTCACTTTAAAAATGCTGTTCCCATATCATCCTGTGTGATCACGAGGTGTCAATCGAATCACTGAAGACAGATGGGTGCATAAGCAAATGTGGTGAAGCTGATGGTGCCCAGCTATCAAAAAGCATAGCGTCTGGGGTCTTAAAGGCTTGAAGGTAATTAAGTGGCCATCTAGCTCAGAAGCAACAAAGCCCACATGGAAGAAACACACCAGCCTATGTAATCGCGAGGTGTCGAAGGGATCAGGTATAAGGCATCATCAGAACAAAAAATCTTACCATAGTGAATGATGGAGGGAGTGTGGAGTGGAGACCCAAAGCCCATAAGTAGGCCACTGGAGATCCCCTTGCAGAGGGGTCTCGAGGAGGAGACAAGCCAGTCAGGGTGCGATGTAGCAACGATGAAAAATACAACTTTCCTCTGGTTCCTAAATGTTTCCTCCCTGCTCCCACTATCATGACACGGATTCTACCCTGCAAGTCTGGCTAGACCATAGGATGCATACTGGTACAGATAGGAACTGGGAATCCAGAGCAGATGATCCCTTCAGGACCAGTAGTGTGAGTGGCGATACTGGGAGAGTAGAGGGAGAGTGGGTAGGAAAGAGGGAACCAATTACAAGGAACTATATGTGACCTCCTCCCTGGGGGGCGGACAACTGAAAAGTGGGTGAAGGGAGATGTCGGACAGGGCAAAATATGACAAAATAACAATTTATAAATTATCAAGGGCTCATGAGGGAGGAGGGAGTGGGGAGAGAGGGGGAAAATGAGGACCTAATGCCCCCGGGGGCTTAAGTGGAGAGGAAATGTTTTGAGAATGACAAGGGCAATGAATGTACAAATGCACTTTACACAATTGATGTGTGTATGGATTGTCATAAGAGTTGTATGAGCCCCTAATAAAATGATTAAAGAAAAAAAAATGCTGTTCCCAATTCACTGACACGGTTTTACAGTCTGTTTCAGTGGCTCGCCATTGCTCTCACCGAATGTAATTCAACATCTTCACATGGCACACGAGGCCCTCTGTGACCTGTTCCCTACCACTTTCTCAGCCCCTTCCTCCATAATCTATCCACTCGATAGAAACTTCTGGGGTTTTGTGAACACCCACTTTGTTGAAGGTTATGGAGGACAGTTACGGAGGTTATGTCGAAGGTTATGGAGGAGCCCCAAGCCCATCTGTAGACTGGTCAGATTAAGCCACTGCCAAATCCCCTCTAACTACAGGGCAAGGGTCCCTTTACTGTCAGATGGTTATAATCTTGATTATCCTAGATGGAATTTAATACTTGGTCAGTTTACTTTTTTTTTTAAAGATCATCTTATTGGGGGCTCTTATAGCACTTATGACAATCCATACATCAATTGTTTCAAGTATATTTGTACATATGTTGCCATCATTTTCTAAACATGCCAAAATTTTCTAAACATTTATGTTCCATTTGAGCCTTTGGTATCAGCTCTTCTTTTATCTACCCCCATCCTCCCACCCTCACGACCACTTGATAAGTTATAAATTATTATTTTCAAAAAAATGAAAAAAAATTATTTTCATATCTTACACCAACCACTGTCTACCCCTGAAGTTTCTTCCTCAATCCTCTTCCCACCCTCCCCCTACCCTGGTATCGCTACTGCCATTTCTGTACCTGAAGGGTTTATCTGACCTGGGTTTCATGTGTTCTGAGCTCTTATCTGCACCTGTGTACGTGCTCCAGCCTAGCATGCAGTGAGAGGCATGATTGGAGTCATGATAGTTGCGGGTGAGGAACCCTCAAGGAACCAGTGAGGCTATATTTCACCCTGGTTGATGCCTCCCTTCCTTGCAACCCTTCTGTGAGGGGATGTCCCATTGTCTACAGATGAGTTTGGGGTCTCTGCTCCGACCACCCCCACATCTTCCTGAACAATATGTTTTGTTTGTGATCTTCTGATTCCTGATCCCGTCAACACCTCCTGATTGCACAGACTGGTGTGCTTCTTCCATGTCAGCTTGCTGCTTCTCTGCTAGATGGCCACTTATTTAGCTTCAAGTCTTTAAGACCCCAGATGCTATATCATTTGATAGCCAGGTACCATCAGCTTTCTTCACATTTGTTTGTGTGCCCATTTTGTCTTCAGCAATTGTGTGGGGAGGGTGAGCATCACAGAATGCCAGGTTAGAACAAAGTGTTCTTGTGTTGAGGGAGGGCTTGAACAGAAGGTTACCTGGTTGGGTCAAGAAGGAGGACCTTACAGG